AAAAAAAAACTACAAGAAAACCAAATGATTCAAACATAGTACCAACCTTCTTTCCCTTGGATAATCTCTTAGTCTTCTTCGGCCACCCAAACTCACTTGACTTCACAGTAGGACTAGACAAGGGACTCAAATCTGCATTACTAGGAGTAACACTACTATTGATAAAAATACGCTCACTTCGTCGGGGCTGCCAGTCAAACAGAGCAAAAGGTGATTTACTCTCGTCCAATTCTTTGCCCGAACTTGATCGCGATTTGCGTCGTTTTTCCTTGATTGGTTCGGGTGAAGCCACCGATTCTGTTTCCGGCACAGCCTCGGATTCTTCTGCTTCTGGTTCCTCACGAAGCTCGGGGACTTTTTCAATCTGTTCTTCCAGTACCTCTGGTTTTGGTTGTTCTTTGAGTTCTGTTTTTTCTTGCGGGATCTGTGTGGGGGATTGCTGCTCGACTTCACGGTTTGTGAAATCGTTTTCTTTTTCTTCGGATGTTGGGCTGCTTTTCTTGGAGGACTTTGCGCTCTGTGAAATGAGAACTCATTAATAAACTCAATTCCAAAATCATTGTCGGGTTCAAAAACATAGAACATAGAAAGGAAAAGGAAAAAAAACCCATAAAACTTAGAAAAGAAAGGAAAAGAAGGAGGTAAGAGTAAGGGTGTTTTATGTCAGTACTTACTGAAGCTGATGGTTTCTTTTTCTTTTTCTTCTTTTTGGGAGTCGGTGTCGTCTCTATGAAAGAAAATTCAAATTTTAATGTGAGTTGAGTTTGTTTGATGTGTTGTTCTCTCTCTTGCCACGAGGGTTTTTCTCCAGGTTCTCTGGTTTTCCTCCCTCCGTAAAAATCAACGTGAGTTGAGTTTGTTTGATGTGTTGTTCTCTCTCTTACCACGAGAGTTTTTCTCCAGGTTCTCTGGTTTTCCTCCCTCCGTAAAAATCAACATGTGAGTTGAGTGTTGTGTGTTGTAAATAATGAACGTAGATGTAGCTAGTAAATATGCGCCTGGATTTTCTCCTTCTACTTCTCGCTCTCTCTATTCTTTTTCTCATATCCTCACACCCGAATCAAACTCTCCATTCCTTCTAGTTTTCATCAATATATCTATACAACAATTGCCAAATTATTACCATAATAGGGACATAACCACAATCATCATACCTGATTCAGGAGTCGGTGAGTAAGGTTTCTTTGGTCGTCCACGCTTAGAACCTTTCCCAAGTCCTTCAAACGGAGATCCTCTTTCGCACTCCTTTTCTTTCTCAAAACACGCCGAACTAGCAAAATCAGCCAGCATATCCAACGCACCTCCGCCGCGGCATGCAGTAAATACCTCGTCATTATCGCTGGAATCTCCATTATTTTCTCGCTTGTTAATCTCTAAACCAACCGTTTTAGGAAACTCTTGTTTGATGACACTTTTTCCAACGACGACTTTTTCATTTGGAAAGACGAATTCTGAGACCGTTTTAGGAGTTAATGACGGTTTTTCCTTCTTTTTCGTCTTTTTGGGATTCCTAACTTTTTTGATGTTAATCGAAGTTGGGCTACCACAAATGCCCTTTACAGAGTCGGGCGACATTTTTTCTTTGTTTTCTATGTTGTCTTCCGTGCTGGGGAGTTTTTCCTTTTTTATGATTTTTTTGGGCTTTTTTGGTTTAGGTTTTGTTGGCATCGTTTTTAAATCACTTGTACTGGATTCACTTTCTGTTTCCATGTTTGATGAATCATCCAACACTGGAAAAGACGACGAATAGGGGAAAAAAATTAGAAAAGGCAATACGAATGTTGAAATGTTTAATATTGGGAGATATCAATAGAGCTCAATGACAAAAAGTTTTCTTAGAGGTTTTAGAAATAGCCTATAACTCTATGTTTTCCAAAGGTTACTTATGAATACTGCCCGAAACTGGCTCATTTTCGTGTCTGCGCCTGCGATATTGTGAAAGCGGTCACGCATATCGGAATTCTTCAATAGAATCCTTGCATGTGACGTCAAAGGAGCTCAATTTGGATAACAATACAAAAGAATTTCAATCTCATGAGAATTGCAAACCTATTCTTATGTCCTCAAAATTGAGCTGCATTCCGACGTGCTGCAAGTGGTCTATTAAAATGACTTTATTACTAACACTACTTACTAGATGGCGATATAGCACTAATGAGCTTCTCCATGTTGGAGGTCGTGGTGCTTGTTGTAATGATGGTACTTGTAGGGATCTTACTCTTGGCTGTAAAGGTAGGTGTTTTCCTGGAAGGCTTGACTGGAGTTGGTTTTAACTTTAAGACAAAATTTAAAACAATGAAACAGACTTAACATTGCATCATGCCTGATACAAGAAAATGGATACAACTCAAACAAAGAATCTCGTTCTCAAGGGAATGACATGCACGTGGTCTGAAATGGAAAAATATTATACCCAAGGTAGAGGTATATTCCATTGGAATAGTTTTCTTCCTCATTCAATTCATAAAACTCTTATTTTATGACCACAGACTCATTAGAGACCTTAAGCATCAGGTTTACCGCTAACTGCTAGGGATCAGGCCCAGAAACACGCCCGCAAACGCGGAGAAACACTCGGCTTCAATGAAATTCAATATGGCGGCTCTTCTAGCAACAACTTCGTTATGACGCCTTGCTAAATGTTGAACGTTTGACCGAAACGCTTGACGTCGAACTACAGCTTGAGGTTTGCGTTACCTAGCAAGAAAGTCATGCTAAAGGTCTCTATTTATACAGGTTTTGCATCGTTCATAACCATCTCTTCATATCATTTAAAAAAATTTTGATGGCATTTCAAAATATTGGTATTATTCCACCTGCATTGTCTCCACATTACAGTTGACTTTAGTGAATGATTTGCTATGAAAGGAGAGTCAAATCCTGACCGAAACTCAAGAGAAGACAATGAATCTACTAACTAAAAAAACGTTTGTGGGATTTCAAAACATTGTTTTAATCCAACTTGTACATTCTTTACATTACAGTTGACTTTTGTGAATTTGAAAGGAGAAAATAAAATCCTGGCCGAAATTCAAAGACAAGGCAATAAATCTACTAACCTCGATATCTGTAGGACTAGCGATCTGTGGTGGCGAAGGCAATGTAGGGACACTCTCTTCTACTTTATTCGTATTACTTTTCTTTCTTTTTTTCTTCACAGGTTCCTCCTTGACGATTGAATTTTCTTCACTAGTGACAGACTTGAAGCCTGGCGACTGAGGGCAAGATGATGATGGCGAGCTCGCGCCACTCTTAGTAGTGAGATCCAACGAACCATTAGACGTTAGGGTGGGTGTTGTTAGTTTGTCGCTTCGTGAGCTTGCACCAAAGTACTTTCTCTTTCTTGGCCGTCCTGGACCTCTCTTTATCGGCGTGTTCTTGCCAGCATTGGTATCATCGTTCCTTAAAGAGAGAGAGAGAGAGAAAAAAGGTAAGTTAACAGGAGATATTTAAAGATAACTTAAAGCAGAGAGTTAGTGGGAATTTATGTTTTGTTCCTTGCCACGAGGGATTTTCTCCAAGTTCTCTGGTTTTCCTCCCTCCATAAAAATCAACATGTAAGTTGAGTTTGTTTGCTGTGTTGTTCTCTCCCTTGCCACGAAGGTTTTTCTCCAGGTTCTCTGGTTTTCCTCCCTCCATAAAAATCAACATGTGAGTTGAGTTTGTTTGCTGTGTTGTTCTCTCCCTTTCCACGAGGGTTTTTCTCCACGGTTCTCTGGTTTTCCTCCCTCCATAAAAATCCAAATGTGAGTTGAGTGTTGTGTGTTGAAAATACTGAACTTAGTGGTAGTACGCGAACCTCACGGAAGAGATTTTCAAGCGACATATCTTACCCTTCTTTACATCTAGGTTGTAGTCTTGCCAGTTCCCTGTGTTTCTCACGGTATTTCTTCTGCAAGTCCGCCAGTCTCATCCTGATGTCTTTCTCCATGACGTTCATGTCTAGAACTTCGTTGAGTGATGACGTCACGCTATGGACAATTGATGCCGGGCTGGAAGGGAAGAAAAAGTCTCCATAACAAAGAAAAAGAGGAAGGAAGGAAGGAAGGAAGGAAGGAAGGAAGGAAGGAAGACGGATGGATGGATTAATGGAAGGACGGTAGGAAGGAAGGAAGCAAAGAAGCAAGGAAGCAAGG